TACCCCTGCCCTGCATCCGGGAGGCGCATCTCGTCTGGCCTCAGGCCACCTGGTGCTCGGGTGGCTCACAGCCACCTTCTCACAGTCCCCCGGGGCCGGCCTGCCAGGCTGTACTTCGCTATCTGGAGGGCAGGGCACTCTGGGCCTGGCTTCTCCCAACTCCTGGAGCGCCGAGGGCGCTGGGGCCCAGTGATGGATCGGGCGCCTCCGCCATCCCACTGCAGAGCCTCGTGGCACCTTTTCTGATGCCGAAGCCTGAGACTCCAAGCTGCGGAGGGCGGGGCTGGCCCTGCTGCGTCCTGACCTGGCTCTTCCCTCCCACGGCTCTGATGCGGAGAACTAGGATGGCAAGATCACCACGGCGGGAAGGACCTACTTTCCAAAAATACCTCCTCCAGCCCTGCCCAGGTTTCACGAGTGGGCTGACCCGGATCCCGTGCCCTGTAGCCGGCTCTGCTGGTTTTTCACTCATTTGTAATTGTCGTCAGTCATACTTGCATGTGATGCTTCCAAACGCTTCTTACGAAAAGGTCTCTGATCACTTCCGGCTCCTCTTCCCCCACGCACAGGCGTCTTCTGTTGACTTCCTGCTTTGGGACACGAGGCTTTAACTCTCAGCACAGCCCTTGCCCCCATCTCTCACACACCCACACACCCACACACACACACACACACACACTTTGCATCCTCCCGGTAGAGGCGTGTGGCAGCGTTGATTACATCAGCATTAAATTCCTTTCAGTTCTCTTCTCACAGATCCCAAGTTGACCACTTCTCCCTACCTCCACTGCTACCTGAATTACGGCCACAACCTCCCAGCTGTCCCCCATCCCTGTCCTCTCTGTCTTCGTCTGAGCTGCACAGATGCTTGTGGGACCTTGGTGGCCCAACCAGGGATCGAACCCGGACCGTTGGCAGTGAAAGCCCCAAATTCCTAACCCCTGAACCCTCAGGGACGTCCCATATCTGTGCTCTTCTCTGATCTGCCTCCATGCAGTAATCAGTGATCTTGTTAAAAAGCAGGTCTGATTGCCTTCTAAGCCGCTGGCTGTCCCCTGACTCCCAGGGGAGGCCAGCCCCTCACACTTCTCAGTCATGCCGTTTTCCCTCCCCCTTCACTCTGCTCCAGGCACACTGCTGTTCTTGCTTCTCACACCAGTCGGGCCCCGCCTCAGGGCCTTTGCACTCGCTGCGCTCTCCCTGGAATGCGTATCTCCAGGCATCCGCACAGCTAGCTAACTTTCTTCAGATCTTGACTCAACAGCTATCTCAATGAGGGCTTCCTCCCTAAAAGGCCATTCCTCATCGTATTTCATGACTTCTTCCCCTGCTTCTTTCCCTCTTATCACTGTCTGGCATACTGATTATTTTATTACTCATTTTATAATAACTGTTTCGTTTACATTCTGTATTTCTGTGTAAGCAATAGTGTCTGTCTCCTGCGCGAGACGGTAAGCTTGACCGCAGGAATCTGCGTCTGCTTCCTGTGGCACCTAGGGCAGAGAGCAGGTGTCTGCTCAGTGCTTGCTGGAACGACTGAGTGCACACACTTTAATTATTCAGAGCCATACAGGGCTAGGCCGTGTAGCGTGTGGACTGGGCCGTGATGATTTTCTGTTTCCCGGGTTCACGAGCTCTCCCTGGCAGCCCCGATCGTCTTGTTTTGGCTTGGGTGTCTGTTTACCACTAATTCAGCTCCAGGCTCTCCCCTCATTGGCGTGACTCTCCTCCCCTCATCTGTCCAACACCCTGTGATTTTTCTCCTCGCTGTCTCGCTTCCTGTCAATTCCATCTCCCAGAGCGTTCTTGATTTCTGTTTGTGGTTGTTTGTGGTTAGAGGAATATTCTATGAGGATACAGTCTTTGAAAATTTATTGAGGCTTATCTTATGGCCCAACATATCATTTTATCTTGGTCAAATTCTGTTCATTTTTCTTCCATTTTTTTTTTCTCTTTGTTCTTCAGAGTAAATAATTTCTATTGATATTTCTTCAAGCCCACTGATTCTCTTTTGTGTCCATCCTGCTGTTACATTCAGCAGATGGATTTTCCACTTCACTTACTGTACTTTTAAGTTCTAGAATTTTGACCCTTTTAAAATATGTTTTTACAAATATTTTGTAAAATAGTTCATTTCTCTACTGAAACCCCCTGTTTGCCCACTCAGACTGATATTTTCCTTTAATTCTCGGATTACACCTAAAATAATGGCTTTAGTTCTTTGTGTACCCAACCCAGTATTGGGTCCATTTTGGCCTCAATTTATATTGACCACTCTTCTCTTTAGGGAGTCCAGTCTTCCTTATGATTTATTTATTTTTGCACATTTAGCAATTTTTTTTTACTGTATATTAGAGATACTGGTTTATACCTTGTTTGACTCTGGGTTGCGTCATCTTCTTTTGAAGAGCACGGATTCTGGTCCTTGTAGTCAACCCAGCGACTGGCTGACCGCCTAGAACGTGTGTCTGGCCTTGTCTTTGGTTAGGGCAGACAGGTGCAAGCCGATGGTATTTCTCTAGCCTCTTACCTTGGTGGAATTTGGCCTCCAAACCTTGAGCTTAGCTTTAGGCTTTGTTGGGCAGGTGTCAGGAGGCCAGCTTCTCGCCGTGGTCCTCACGTCGGCTGCAGGCTTCCTGACGTCTCAGCTTCACACCTCGGTCACTCCGAGGGGCTCAGGCGGCCGCCTGCCCATGGCTGTGTCGGAAGGCCCCCCAGCACGGCTCAGCCTCCACGTCTGGTCTGTTTTTACCCCTGGAGGAGCCGCTGTGCAGGACCCCCCCAGGGACGCCCCTCCCCCCGCCACAGGCTCCGGGCCCCGCCGCCCCCCGCGTCACTCGTCATCCCGCTCGGCGCCGTGCTCTGCCTCCTGGGCCGTGTCCTGCTTGGACGCTCACCCCGGTCCTGCGGCCAGTCAGCCTCCAGGAGAGCCCCGCGAAGGCTCCCTGGTGCCAAGGTGGGCTCCGTGAGCTTTGCTTCTCCCAGGCGCCTGGACTTGTGCTGCTTGCTGTTTATGGCCAGAAAACCAGCCTCTGTATTTTCTCCGTCTGCCGGTTGTCTAGGGAGTGGGGCTTCGTCTGCCACTAGTGATCCTGCCCGCACTGGGGGCCCTGGGGAGCTCCCTCCCGCCGCGGGGGCCCTCCACCTCTCTTTCTTTTGTGTTCAGTCCTCTGTTTGCTGGGTCCCCGTTTTCTTCATTCTGGTTGATTTCAGCAGCTTCCTGAGAAAGGGTGGCAGGTAAATTTCCTGTGTGTCTGAAAACGCCTTTGTTAAACCATCGCACTTGACTTGTAGGGATTAGGGGAGAATTCTGGGCTGGAGGTTATCTCCCTCCATAATTCTAGGCACTGTTTGATTGAATGGCTAATGGGATGTGGCTCTTTTGTGCAAAACCTCGAGACCCGTTTTTCCTTCCTTTCTTTTTCTTCCCTTATGTGTAAGGCTCGCGGAGTTCCCACAGCCAAGAGTTTGTGTGGGTCCGTCTTCCTCCACCGTGTCTGCGCGGGGGGCCCTTTCAATCAGTTCCCAGGAGATTTCTTGAACTATTTTTTTGAATTTACTGTTTTTTTTTTTCCCCCAAACCTCTTACTATCTTGATGGTGGACCATCTAGGCGCTTCCACAATTTCTTTTCTCTCTTTTCCATCTCTTTGCATTTTTTGTTTTTCCTTTACTTGGAAAGAGTTCTTCTGGTTTGTCTTGCAACCCTACGTCACACTTTTCATTAATATTTTTAACTTTCAAGATCTCTTTCTTTCCTTTCCAAATGCTCCGTCTACTGAAAATAAAGGTGTTCTCTTACCGTTTCATGGATCTTTTCTAATGAAAACACTGCTGATTGCTTCTGAGATTGTGAGACACTCTGCCGGGTCTCTTCCGCCCAGGTTGCTTTTCCCATGTCTGCTTGGCCTCTGTCTTTGTGATCTGCGTTCGCCTCTGGGGTGTGGAGGGGAGTCCTTGACCATCTGGGTCCTGGGCTGGCGTGGTGCTGAGGGTCCTGCCTTTTGCTTCACCCCCGCGTGAGCTGTGCCCGGGGTCTGCTTCCTGGAGCCCCTCACCCTGCGGAGCACACGGCCGGTCTCGGAGGGGGGGTCTGGTTTGGCGAGTCGCGGCCCAGAGCGAGCGCGTCAGCTGTCAGACGACCCTCGTGGGGCCAGGACGAGGTGGTCATTGCACAGTGTCCGGGCTAGGGGCCCAGCCCGCAGGGCTGTGCCAGGCCTCGGGGGTCTGCCCCGCCCGGGACACGCCTTGAGAACCCGGCAGAGAGGCCCCAGCGTGCCCGTGCCTGCCGAGGGGAGTGGATGGCCTGCGGCTTGGGAAGGACCAGAGCCAGGGTGCTCCTCGGGGCCCGGGGCCTGTGGTTTGTGCAGGGAAGACCCCCGCCCTGGGGTCACTCCTGCCAGCCTGCCGCTCCTGCTGGGAGCCAGAGATGATCTTGCCACGTGGGCCCCTGTCCTGGGGCGCTGGGGCAGTGAGGACCTGCACGGGAGGGGTGTTGCGCTTGGCGTTGCGGTTAGAGTTGGGATTGGGGTTAACAGGCTGGGTCAGCTGATGACTGAGGCTCCAGGAGCAGACTCCGCCCATTGCCTCCCCCAGCCCCCCACCCCAGTGTCGGCATCTTCCCCGGCCCCGCTGAGGCCGAGCAGAGAGCCTCAGGGCTGGGGGCCTCCCCACAGTGGGGGAGGCGCTGGACGCGGCCCCACAACAAGCCCGGTGTCCAGGGCAGAGAGGGCGTGACGTGGGTCCAGCACACGTCCTGCCTCCACGCGGAGCCCACCCTTTCACCCCCGGGGATGTTCCTTGGTCCCCCTGTCCTGCTCAGGCCGCGGAGCTGCCTTCCCAGAGGTCAGGAGGCCTCTGCGCCCTGTCCACCTCCTGGCCCGTCCTGTCTGGTACCTGCCGGCAGTCTGCCCTGCAGAAGCAGCGCTTTGGGTGTGGGGCTGGGGGCCCGGCCTCCCGGTCCCCTGCACCCCCAGGTTCACAGGGCACCTGTTTCTCCAGCTGCAGATCTGGGACACCGCCGGCCAGGAGCGCTTCCGCACCATCACGCAGAGCTACTACCGCAGCGCCAACGGGGCCATCCTGGCCTACGACATCACCAAGAGGAGCTCCTTCCTGTCGGTACCGCACTGGATCGAGGACGTGCGCAAGTACGCGGGCTCCAACATCGTGCAGCTGCTCATCGGTGAGGCCGGCCGGACGGCCGTCTGTCCGTCTCCTTTGTGAACGAAGGGTGGGCGGGGCTTGGCCAGGCCGGCGCAGAGCCAGGACCTGAACGTGATCTAGAAGGCGCAGTTGCTGCTGGTCACCTGTAAAGTTGCATATCCCAAAGTGGGAACCAGGGGAGGGGCCTGGAGGCAGTCACCACATGGCCGCACCCTGGCCAGCGCTGGTTCCCTCTTCGTCAGGCGTCTTCTCAGAACCCTGCCCGCTCCTCCTGTGTCGGGGTCGGGCCGAGAAATAAGAAGTAATTTCTCCGTAATCCACGCAGCCCCTGAGCACGTGAAGGAGGCTGGTCATGATTCAGGGGCTCGCTCTGTCGTCCGCTGCAGAGGGGCATCTCACGCGTCTGTCCACCTCTAGGTCTCTCTGAAGTCAGACACCCTCCGGGCGTCTGATTGGGATGTCTGGGTGGGCCCGTGAGAGTGTGTTTCTAGCAGGTTCCAAGTGACGATGGCGAGCCCACCCGTGAACCACTGCTGCAGGGCGCACTCTGACCACCTTCTGCCTTTTCCTCCTGCATCAGCTTCTCAGACCTGGACTCAGGAAGCTGTGGCCCACTTGTGTGCCCCTGGGGCCCTTGTCACAGGCCTCAGGGTGGTTCCTCTCAGCAGTCTTGTACAGATGGGCCTGGGCTGGAGCGTGGGTGCGCTGGGCCAGGCGGTCCCCCACCCCCTGGCCAGAAGGGAGCCCTCCCCACCTGCCCGGACGCCTCCCTTTCATCCGGGACTTAGAACAAAACCTTCCCCGCAGAGTGTCTCACACAAGCAGAAGGGGCTAGCGGGACGAGCCCAGGTCAGCAGACACCGCAGGCCCACCCGCAAGTCCATCCGCAGTCGTCTCAGCCCTCTGTCCCTGCCCCGCACGGTCCTCGGGGGCAGACCCAACACAACCATTTCACTTCCGGGTGTTGTAGCGCAGAGCTACAAGACACACGTGCTTCAGAACGTATGATAATGGTGCTATTTTCAGGTCTAAGAAGTGCTGACCTCTCCTAACACAGTGAGCTAGCCAATCTGGGTCAGGTCACAAATGTCATGCACTTTTCTTTTCAGTTTGTTGAAATCAGGATCCAAGTAAACGGCAGCCCCCCTGCCCGCCACAGAAACTGGCTGCTGCATTGTTTACATTTCCCACACGAGTTATAGGTCTTTTCTTCACGGCGTTTGTGTGTGTGTGTTTTTCGGCCATACCATGCAGCTTGGAGGATCTTAGTTCCCCGACCTGGAACTCAGCCCTGACCCCAGCAGTGAAAGCGCTGAGCCCCGACCACTGGCCCACCAGGGAGCTCCCTAGAGCTTTATGATGCCTCTCTTTGTCGTTGTCCCCACGATCACATTATGAAAGTCAGTCACTTGCTCAGTCGCTGAGTCGTGTCCAACCCTTGCGACCCCACGGACTGGAGCCCACGAGGCTCCTCTGCCCATGGGATTTTCCAAGCGAGAATACTGGAGTGGGTTGCCCTTTCCTTCTCCAAGATGTATAAAAAAAGTCTGGCATAAAGTGGGCCGAGGAGCAGCTGAGCAGATTTCCTAAAAGATAACGGATCCCCTTACACCTGAGGAGAAGCCGAGGCGTGCTCTCAGAGCAGCTGTGGTCTGCACTGTGCTTATCAGAAGAGCAAAATCGTCAAAACCCATGATCCTACAGAGAATTTAAAAAATCCCCCTCTAAAATAGGAGAGGGTTAATAGTAAACATAATAACAAGATTTTACCAAAAAAAAAAAAAAGCAAGACCAGATTTCTTTGACTTCACGCCCCGGTGCTTCAGCAGTAAACAACCTGTCTGCAATGAGGGGGACCTGGGTTCCATCCCTGGGTCGGGACGATCCCCTGGGGGAGGGCACGGCAACCCACGCCAGTGTTCTTGCCTGGAGAATCCCATGGACAGAGGGGCCTGGCGGAGTACGGTCCATGGGGTCACAGAGTTGACGGAGGGCCTGCCAGGGGCCAGCTCACCGTGTCCGTCCTCCTGCTCTGCAGAAGGTGGCATCCCGGGTGGGCAGGCCGAGTCTCAAAGACGGACTGACTCACCCCGGGGTCACACAGCAGGCGGCTGGAAGCCGGGGTCTCTACCCGTGGCTGTCTCCAGCTCTAAGGGCCCCCATTCTTTTTGCCCAATTCTGCTGCTTCTATTTCGTAGAGAAAATTCAGTAAAATAGACAAGCCTCTGGCACAGAGAAGGAAGAGGTTATATGAGGGAATAGTGAAAGCGATAGTTGCTCAGTTGTGTCCGATTCTTTGCGACCTCATGGACCATAGCCCGCCAGGCCCCGCTGTCCATGGGATTCTCCAGGCAAGAACACTGGAGCCGGGAGCCTTTCCCTTCTCCAGGGGATCTTCCCAGCCCAGGGATCAAATCTGGGCCTCGCATTGCAGGCAGATTCTTTACCAGCTGAGCCCCAAGGATGGGGTAAGGGAATTAAAATCGAGATGGAGCCCCAGGCTCGCGTGCCTCACCACTGCCCCCGCTTGCCCGCAGGGAACAAGTCAGACCTCGGGGAGCTGCGGGAGGTGCCGCTGGCTGAGGCGCAGGGCCTGGCGAAGCACTACGACATCCTGTGCGCCATCGAGACATCGGCCAAGGACTCAAGCAACGTGGAGGAGGCCTTCGTGAGGGTGGCCACCGAGCTGGTCGTGCGGCACGGCGGCCCACGGCTCAGCGAGAAGGGCGCCGACCACATCCAGCTGGACAGCAAGGACGTCGCGGAGAGCTGGGGCTGCGGCTGCTGACGGGGCGCCAGCGGGGGAGGCCGGGTCACCGTCTGGAGGCCTGGGCGTGCGAGGGCAGCGCCGGCCTCCGCGAGGGAAGAGGCAGGGGAGGCCTGGTGGCCTGAGTCCGGGTGTGGACCCTGGCGGGCGCTCCCCCACCTCTGCGCTTCCTGATCTGGCCTGCGTCACCCCTGAGGCTGCTGCACCTGGCAGTGGCCCCGGGTCCTCCCAGGTCCCCCCAGGGCCTCCTGTGCGGCCGCGGACCAGGGGCAACTGCCCGAGCTCAGCCCAGGGCCGCTGGCCTCCTTCCCTCCCTCACTGCCAGCCCTCACCTGGCTCTGGCCGGCTCCTCCCCAGCGGGCCCCACCTCTCCTGTGCCCCGGGAGCAGCAGGCAGCACCCACAGAACCCAGCCGCTGGCCTGGGGGCCGGAGCGTCTCCGCTCAGGCTGCTGAAGCACTGGCTCCTCTAGCTCTGGCTCTCAGTAGGTTGGGGAGCAGGGGCGAGGTGGGGGGACGGGCATTTCAGGGGCGAGTGGAGGCCACCCCGGCTCACCCTCCGTGCGGAGATCCCCACTGCCATGGTCAGACCACCAGTGGCCCGGCCGCCTGGGGTCTGGGCCCAGCACCCTCGTGGCCTTCGGCTGGGGCTGAGGTCAGAGCGACAGTGGGGCCCTAGACGACCCCGGGGGCCCTTGGAAGGAGCACCGTCCCCTGGGCTGGGGGGCCAGTGGTCTCCCCTGGTGGCCCCAGCCCCTCCCCCCTCCCTCCTGCCAAGCCTGTCCTCTGCGGTCAGGCTGCCGGCTCTGGTCCCTGAGGAACAGATGCTGGCTCGGTCGGGCAGGGGTCTACCCTGGGGGGTCGGCCCACTATCCGCTGGGTGGGCTGGGAACTGTGAGCGAGAAGGCTGCTCACTCCCCTGCTCTGTCCCGCTGCTGGGTGGGGCCTGGCCCCTCAGCCTGTGCCAGAGAAAGCGCCCGTGCTGAGGTCTCAGAAGGGCCCCTCGGGCCAAGGGCAGAGGTCCTCCAACCCCAGGACCCCTCTGCTCGGGGCTGATGTTCGGGCGGAGAGAGAAGGCTGCCTTGCAGAGGGCAGCTGCTCCTCTCCGGGGTTAGGCGGGGCACCCCAGTTCCAGGAAGCACAGGTGCTGAGCCTGGGCCCAGGGCTGCCTCGCAGGCCTTGGGGAGGGAGGGAGCCTGGGCTGCGGGGACGGCCCGGGGGAACAGCTGTCTGGCGCCGGGGGCTCCTCTGCCACCGCGGGCCGTGCCCGCTGCAGCCTGGAACACGGGGTCGCCTCGGGCTCCCCGCTTTCTTTCCCCACCCCACTGCCACGTCCCTGCTGCCCCCTCCGCCCAGAGCGGCCCCACCCCCTCCCCGGACACCGCCCTGAGCTCCTTGGCCTGAGCTTCCGCTGCAGGCGGACACCCCCACCCCCTCTCCCCGCTGATGTCGGGGGCGCTGTGAAAGGTTCCCCCCCCACCCGACACCTTCCGCCCTGGCGCCCAGGGACGGGTCCACCCTCACGGCTCAGCCCCGGGAGCCGCCTCTGCAGGCGGGCCCCGCCCCCCGCTCGCCCCGCCCCGCCCTTGATTCGGTGTCATTCACAGCCCACGGTGAGAATGCCTTCCGGCGAGATTCCCGGTCCTCGGACGCCCATGCCGGTGCTCCGGGTGCGGCCTGGGCATGCTGCTGGCGGCCTGATCGGGGGTGCCCGGCAGGCGGGGCCCTCACTGCCTCTGGGCCCTGGGCCTCTCTCAGAAGGCCCTGGACTTGGATGAGAGTTAATGTCTAAGGGAAGTCTAAGGAAAGTGTCTGAGACGACACGGCCCGCCTCTTCCCAACAGTGCAATCTCTTCCTTTGTTTATAAATTACCCGAGATCGGGAGGTGGGGTCCCCCCGACCCCGGGCCTGCAGGAGAGGAAGTGGGCCAGAGGACCGGGAAGTGTCCCAGCCGCCAGCCACCCCCGCGGAGGAGGTGGTCTGTGGTCTGGGCTGAAGGAGGACCAGGGGACGGTGGGGTTTATATTTACGGAAGGAGGGTGGGCAGGCCAGGGACCTCCGAGCCAGAGCGGTGGGTCCCTGTCCCAGAAGCAGGGTGGGGATTGACCCCAAGGACACAGGCCCCAGCCGGTTCGGAGCTGGAGGAAGCTCCTAATTCATATTGAATTCAGTTACTTCTCCAGGGAAGGCAGCGGGGCTGGGGCCTCAGGGACCCCGGAGCCTGCACCGGACTGGGGCTGGGGAGGGCCTGAGCCCAAGGATGTTGTTGCATTTGGAAATTTTTCTCATTGCCTATTTATGAATATATGAATCTTTATAGCAAATCTATTTTTTAAAACATGGAAAAAATTTGCCTTTATGGAGACTTAGCAGAGCCAGAGTGTACACATTCCTAAACCATTAAACGTTTCTCTAACGAGCCATCCGTGCCCAGATTGGTTCTCTTGTTTGAAATTTGGAGATGGCCCAGCGGCCACACGCCCAGAGACCCCTGGAGGCCCTTGCTGGCCAGAAGGCATGGCTGCCCAGCCACGCTGCTCCTGCCTGCCCTGGCTCCCCTCTGAGACACACTGGGGGCCACATGGGCCTCCACTCAGACCCCATGTTAGCCTGGGCTGGTTCGTGACCTTGGACGAGGCAGCCTCTGTCAGAGCCCTGGTTTCCTCAGATAGGGGGACACATGCTTCAAGCCTCCATCCCAGAGTGTGTGCTGTCACGTGGCCCGTGTGGGGTGAGGGTGCCAGCAGCCAGGAGGGCGTGAGAACCGGGTGGGACCTGGGAAAGGGCCCTGGGGTGTCCAGAGATGGTGGGGTTGCGGGTATTTGGAGGGCGGGAGGTGGAGGTGGACCCAGCCATTTCACTAGGAACTTGGGGGAGAGGGGAGCCCGGATCAGCGTCTGTCCGAACACAGGGTCGGGTGCAAACCCGCTAAGAGGGAAGCATCTCCGAGCCTGGGTAAGGGCTGGCTGGGCGGCGGGTTTCTTCTGAGCTACCGGGGGCTGGCCCGGGGCACCGGGACGGTGCACAGCAGGCTCACCAGGAGAGCCAGGCCCAGAGCGGCCACGACGACCAGCGCCGCGTCCCACCAGGGCCCCGGGTGGGCCCAGGACTCGCGCAGACTCCAGCCGCAGCCGCCCAGCTCGGAGCCGCTGAGCTCGGCGGGCGGGCGGCCCGCGGCGTGGGCGGGGCCGGCGCAGCGCAGGCGCCGCAGCTGCTCGGGCGCGCGGTCCTCCAGCCAGAGGCGCAGGTAGACGAGCCCGCAGTCGCAGCGCCAGGGGTTGTGCGTCAGGTCCAGGCCCTGCAGCTGCGGCAGGTGGTCGAAGGCGCCGGGGGGCACGGTCCGCAAGCTGTTGTTGGTCAGCAGGAGCTGGCGCGTGGGGGCCGGCAGGGCGGGGAGCGCCTCGAGCCCGCGGCCGCGGCAGTCCACCTGCAGCCCCATGGTGTTCAGCGCGCGGCAGGCGCAGGCGGCCGGGCAGTCCTCGGAGGCCTCAGTGGCCGCCCAGAGCAACAGCAGCGCCACCCACGGGGGCATCGGGCGGGAGGGCTGCGGGGACAGTGGCAGTGAGGTCCCGGCCGCCTGACCCCCGCCCCGGCCCGAGGGCCAGCGGGGCCCGACTGGACAAGGGACCGCTCACCTCCGTCTCAGGCCTCGGCTTTCTCCTCCGTGAAATGGGTGGTGGGGACGTGGGCGTGAAGCTCCTTGGACCCAGGCCGGCTGGCCCTCCCCGGATGCTCAGAAGGCCTGAGGGCTACTGCGAGGGGGGTGAGGAGTGGACTCAGTCCCTTCCTGGGAGGGGTGGGCCCGCCTGCCCCCTGGGAGAGACACCAGCCTCTGCTCAGGGCCGGGGGCAGCAGGGGCCAGCTGAATGACAGCAGGCCAGGTTAGGGTCTCTCCCCAAGGCTCCACACACCTGAGCCTGGGTCTGGTGGATGGCATGCACACCACCGACCACCCCTTGGCCCCTGAGTTCAAACCCCTCTGCCCAGTTCACAGCAGAGTGAACTTTCTCAGGGTCCCTGGTATGCAGAGCAGCTGGCTGAGGTTGCTTGGTTGGGGGTAGGGTGGGGAAGGGGACACAGACCGGGCTCCATCTGGAAAGCCCTAGATCAAGGCTCATGCTTGGAGTTGGGAAAGAGGCCCAGAGAGGGAGACTGCCTCCTCCAGGGCTGCCCAGCGCTCTGTCAGAGACCAGGCTTGCACTCGGTTCTTAGGAACCCCAGTCCTCTGCCCGGCTCACTGCCCCTCCAGGACTTGGTGGAAGCTACCTCCCCTTCCGAAGGTGGGCTCCCACCAGGGCCCGTGGCAGGCTTCCAGGGAATGTCTGTTTAATAAACCAATGAAGCTTGACTCAACCAAGCACCCGGTGTCTCAGAGGGAATGCCTGGCTGTGCCCCTGCCCCCCACCCCAGCCAGGAGGGGCAGAGGCTGGACTCGCCACAAGTCTGCCTCTCTCTGCCAGGCCTGGACACAGAGCCCCCCAACCCCCAGGAGGGGCCCGCACAGTGGGAGGTGGTGCTGGGTGATGAGGGCCACTTACCTGACCAGCCTGACCTCGGGGTGCCCCTTCTGTGGCCTGAACTGTTCTGGCCAAAGCCACGGTGGCTGGCCGTGCTGTGTGAAGCAGCCGACGGTGACCCCTGCCTCAGTGGGAGGAAGGAAACGGTGAAAATAGCCTGGCTTATCCCCGTGCGCAGCCCTGGAGGGCCTCTCTCCAGAGGCGGCGGCCCTCGGGGTTCCAGGAAGTTGTGCTCAGAACCGCGGGTCAACCCCAGTTTATCGGAGGGTGCAGTGCATCCCGGGGCTCCCCTGGTGGCTCAGCTGGTAAAGAATCCGCCTGCAGCGCAGGAGACCCTGGTTCCATTCCTGGGTCGGGCGGACCCCCTGGAGAAGGGAAAGGCTACCCCCTCCAGTATTCTCAGGCTTCCCTGGGGCTCAGACACTAAAGAATCTGCCTGCAATGCGGGAGACTCAGGTTCGACCCCTGTGTTGGGAAGACCCCCTGGAGGAAGGCATGGCAACCCAGCCAGTATTCTTACCTGGAGAATCCCCATGGGCAGAGGAGCCTGGTGGGCTACAGTCCACGGGGTCACAAAGAGTCGGACACAACTGAGCGACTAACACACACTTTATTATGTTATAAAAATGTCAGTAATATGAAATATCAACTTGGTACAGGGTTTGCGGAGATGGGAAAACGTATACCCGTGGCGGTGGGGGAGCTGGGGTGTGGTAACCACAGGTACAGCAGTGCTTGGGAATGGGTGGAAGGGGTTCCAGCAACCAGAGGGATGCAGGAGAGGAGCCCAGAGCGGGGGCGGCTAGGAGAGGCGCTGCTGGCCTCCCGCATGGCCGTGGTCAGCGTCAGCCAAGGACGAAGGGCTGAGGCGGGTCTCAGGCCCCCGGTTTGGGGGGCGTTCCAAACCCTCTGAAACCCAGATAGTGCGGGCTCGAAAGGGACACTGAGGCCCAGAGCAGCCAGGCTGCCGGCCGAGGGGCCACTGGACAGTGAGCAGGGGTCGCCCCGGCGGGGAGGCAAGGAGCCGCACCCCCTGCAGCTGAGCCTGTCCTCAAAGCAGGTGACGCAGCACCAAGGCCGTGGGTAGGAGGCGTCAAGGGCGGGGGCCGGGGGCACTTGACCCCGCCGCCCCCAGACCCACAAGAGCGTCCCTCCCGTTGTGGGGGGCAGTGTGCATCCTGACCTCACCCCCCAGTCAGGCCACGCTCTCTCCTCTCCTGCCTCTGAGGCTTCCTTCTTATCTCAACACGGACGGCTTAAAAAAGGACAGAAATAAATCACTTTCGTTGTGGAAAAACCGGACTCTGCCGATGATCAGGAAGATGATAAACATGGTCCTCAACCTCAATATCCAGCAAGACTGCCTTTCCTTTCCTCCTGTGAGCATACTTTTCTCACCTACATAGGGCCGGACGGGGCCCACGCCCTTGGGGGTCCGCCCGCAGGTCACCAGCATCCGCGGGCTCCACTGTGGTGTGGCGTCTTTCATTCGGGGATCCCAGACGTGAAGGGCCCCCCGGCCACCCGTATCTCCCCACAACAGGCCTCCGTGGGCTCAGGGCGGGGGCACCCCTGGGCTTCCTGAGGGCCTCCCCCTTCCAGAGCTGCCTGGGTGGCCGGCCCGGCTGACCACAGGCTTTTCCTGGGGGGAGATGGGGCCATTCTGCTCCCCGACCCATCAGGCTCCCTGCCAGGCCCCCGACCCGTGCCCACAGAGGCCCCTCTTGGGCTCCTTCCATCTGTGAATGTGCTCATTCCTGCTTTACCCTGTAAAATCCCCGTGTGCGTGCGTGTCTGTGCATGTGTGTGATGGTGTGCATGTGTGTTCATGCATGTGAGTGTGTGAGTGTGTGTGCATGTGTGAGTGTGCGTGTGTGTGACTGCGGGCGTGTGTGCAAGTGCACATATGTGACTGCATGCGTGAGTGCATATGTGCATGTGTGTGAGTGTGTGTGTGTGTGTGTGCATGCACCGGCCCTGCTACTGCACAAGGGGTTCCTGCTCCTGGAGGAATTCCTAGGATGGCCCCCACCAGCCCGCAGCCCGACCCCCGGACCTGGGGAGCCCACTGTGACCTCAGGGCTGGGCCTGTGCTGGGTTTCACGGACAGCTGACCCTGCAAGAGCCAGGTTTCCCAGGAGGCCTGAGGGGCACATGGGAGCCTGTAAGTTGCTGTCGCCCCTACTTTTGCAGGGCTTCGTGACAGCAGCGAGAGAAAACCTGAGCTCTGAACCAGTTCACGGTCACAGCTCCTGCAGCCAGCTCCCCCCATCCCCCTGCCCCCTCTCCCAACCCTCCCCATAGGTGACAGATGCCTAGAACCAGCCCTTTTGGAAAGCCTGCCCCACGTCCACAACTGCCCACACGTGCCATCGCTCTTTCTGCCTCTTCCACCAGGACGCACTTTGCAGGACCTAAAATCATGTTCACGTTTTGTCTGCAACCTAGACAGCATATTAAAAAGCAGAGACGTTGCTTTGCCAACAAAGGTCCGTCTAGTCAAGGCTATGGTTTTTCCAGTAGTCATGGATGGATATGAGAGTTGGACTATAAAGAAAGCTGAGCGCTGAAGAATGGATGCTTTTGAACTGTGGTGTTGGAGAAGACTCTTGAGAGTCCCTTGGACTGCAAGGAGATCCAGCCAGTCCATCCTAAAGGAGATCAGTCCTGAATATTCATTGGAAGGACTGATGTTGAAGCTCAGACTCCACCTTTGGCCACCTGATGTGAAGAGTTGACTCATTGGAAAAGACCCTGATGCTGGGAAAGACTGAAGGCGGGAGAAGGGGAAGACAGAGGATGCGATGGTTGGATGGCATCACCCACTCCATGGAGATGAGTTTGAGTCAACTCCGGGAGTTGGTGATGGACAGGGAGGCCTGGCATGCTGCAGTCCATGGGGTTGCAAAGAGTTGGACACGCCTGAGCGACTGAACTGAACGGAATGGATGACATGTCTCCTTCCAGGTCGGTAGGAACTTCTGAAGGGCGGGGACTGGATGCTGTTGATGCTGCTAAGACACAGCTGTGCCTGCTTGTCGCAGGTGCAGGAAGCGTCTGTAAGGTTTGCAGACCAGCTCTCCTCCCGCCCCGGTCAGTCCCCTCCTCTCTGGACCGTTCTCTCTCAGGCACCCGCTTCTGCCTCTGGCGACAAAGGTCTGACCGCCTCGAGTCTTCAGGTTAAAGCGTCGCCCTCTGTAGCACGCCGTCGCCACCTCGTGACCACTGGCTTTAAGGTGGGTCAGCCTCGGCCCCTCTCCCCACCGCACGCCTCTCCTTCTGGCGCCTCTACCCTTCCAGATCCGCCCAGGGCAGGGCCTCTTCCAGGAAGCCCTCCTGGAACAGCTCCCCCACTTCCAGCAGACCGAGGGGCACTGCGGTCCGCCGTGGGTCTGCCCCCTTGCCCCCCAGGGTAAGTGTCCTGGGCCCTGTTCACAGAGCAGGCGTGGCTGAAACTTGAGCAGGGCTGTTAGGCGGCTTCAAACCTGCTAGGGTGCTTAGGAAGCCCTTTATCTTGTGGCCCAGGATCCTGCGTTATCCCCTGGAGCAGTTTTCCTGTCTCTGGAAGCAGAGATTAACACGCTGTGACCCCCAGCTTCTCAGCTGTCACTTTTAGCCTGTGCACCCCACCCCAGAAGCCCTCCTAAAGTCCCAGGGTGATCTTCACCTAAACCCATCACACCTGTAACCTGTGCCCACAGATTCACGGGAACCCTGGCACTCCCTCCAGACCGCTAGAAACCTTAACAGGGGTCACCTGAGTTGTTTGGCAGGAACTTGGAATCAGGGACTCAATGGACATGAGTCTAAGTAAGCTTGGGGAGTTGGTGATGGACAGGGAGGCCTGGTGTGCTGCAGTCCATGGGGTTGCAGACAGTCGGACACGACTAAGCCACTGAACTGAACTGAACTGGAGTCACTTAAGGCTGGTTGGGACCTTAGACCCTCCAACAGGGCTTCCCCGAAGGTCTGCTCAGTGAACTTTGACATCAGAGGCCCCCAAACCCCATCCTCC